TTCAAATCAAAATCCATTTGGACGGATTGGATGGACCAATAAGATATTGAATTTGGACGGATTGGAAGGACCAATATAACATATTGGATTGGACCTGATCCATCCATAATGAATTTATATTGGATTGAGCCAATATCTAATCTATTGATAAAAGACAAAAACATAGGTGTCAATAGACTAGGTTTAAATTGAAACCAATCTAAATTAACAGGAATTTGAACAAATTGAACAGTCTCTAGACCAGTCCAAAATGATCCAAAATATTCATTGGACTGAATTGGACCATGTCCATTTGTAATGGACTCACATTGGACTGGACCGGATTAGACCAAATCCACTCCAATTGACACCCCTACTTTTAATTGCCCCTAACCTTTTCAACCACTTTAACTTGTTACAGGTCCCACATATGTTATAAATGCTCTTCTATGCATGTGATCCAGCCATTTCAACTTTTTATATAATTATATAAAATTGTTTTTTTATATTAATTTTGTTTTTTTTTTTATAATTATATGTTCTTTCTTTGTTTTAAAATTTCCAAAAACCCAATAAAATCTTAATAGAATCCATCCAACTCGTCCAAATCCAATCAAACGTTATATTGGATTCGGATTCACAATTTTTTTTTATAATCAGATAAAATCCAAATGTGGATGGATCCGATCCGAAACCCGGATCGTAGCCTTATTCTCAGCAACCCTCCACCTTCCACCCCAAAGTAGGGGGAGTAAAAATAAAAAATAAATGTCTGGTTGTCAGGAAAATGGATGTTCGATGTTCTGTACCGTGGTCCATAGCAAATGCTATTACATCCATTGAAAGATACCTGATTGGTCAACTGAAATAGCATATCCGTGTATGGTCATTTATTCCCAAACAAGGACATATCACCTGCTTGAGGTCCGGGTAATTCGAATTCGGATCTTCTGACCAGAAAAACCCTGGCCTACATCGTGATCACTGAACACACTACAGCCGATACTATTCACGTACTGTGTGCCTTTGCCATTGATCCGGCTGGTTGAACTATTTTTCATCATTTTATCAATATTTTTGATTCGGTTTGCATGAAATCCGCCATTTGATAAAAAACTGTTCTATCTGAGCAGTTCAATTGTTGATCCATTTGATTTAGTCAGTAGGTCATAAGTTGTATATTCAATTTGACAATTTGGGTATTTTTTTTTCGATTTTGAATAATTTTTCAAAATTGATGCATCCAAAGGATCGAAAGGCACCTTATCCCATTATTTTTGCAAAACCCCATTATTTATATATATTACATCTAAAAAAGAGTTATATATTTTTTATTAATAAAATATCTATTTATATATTATAATATCTATATATGCTAATGGCATGATCTAACCCATTCAACCTAGATGGCCGAACCAATCACCCATGACCTAAAGGGCAAAAACAGTTGGGCTTCGTCAGTTTTTAAAAACATTGTATTCTATTAAAATTTAATTAAGGTAATTAGTTGAATCCGATTCGAATCCGACCCGATCAAAAACCTACCTGTGAGGCTCTGACTGCCTGTGAGGGGTTATTTTTTCGCAGGAGGGTGGAGACAGTAATAATAAAGAAAAGTCAGACAATCTTTGAATATGAAATGCCGTTCATTTGACGCGGTCCCACAATGAGATCTGACGTCTTAGGGCTTTTTGTCCTTAGTTCTAGAAGTTCATCCTTCAAAGTTCAAATTCGTTGTCGTTAAGTACCCGTCGTCGGTTAGTCGGTCACGCGCTACGCCACATGCTAACTGTGTCCACGGAAAAGAAAACCCAACCATTACGGGTACGGAACGGAAGGCAGGTTTGTTTGGTAAATAACAGGGGTTAAAGGGGCTATACATCGAAGGGGATCACGTGAAGTCGGTCGCAGCTGAGTCTGAGTCTCTGAGTCTCTGAGACATTGTTTTTTGACGAGAAAAAGAAACAAGAAAAGATGGTCTGATTGACAGCGAGGAGGACTATTGGACTATCGTGGATCTGATTGGATTCTCTTCTGAGTCCTTTGCTGACTCACAGACTGACAGAAGACCTTTTGCTTTACATTGCTTTGCTGTGTCACCAAGTAAGAATTCTATGAGGAACTGAGGATGAGATGTGAGGGTCCACCAGGTGGATGCCAGATTAGTGGGCCAAGCGGAGCATCTTAGCCGTCCGATTTCACATCTGCGGATCAGGGGTTTACAGTTAACAGGGCTATTCCAAGCCCAACTACTTATCTTTCTCCTTCTATATTTACAAAAGTGAAGGATTGCTGCCAGATGCTCCAACACATGTTGGTGGGTCCTACTCCTTAACCCTTAACCCTTAAGCCTTCTCATCAAAGCACTGTGTGAATGTGATCAGTTGTTAGTTGAAAAGGTAGTTATTATTTAGTTTTTTCTTATTATTGTTATTGTTATTAATAGTCACTCATTAAAAGTGGTCTTATCCACGTAGAGGAGAGTCCAGCGTCACCGGTAGAAACAAGGAATTCTAGCAGATAAAGGGAACTTTTTGCCCTAAATATCAATAAAAGATAATATTTTATAAAATAATTAAAATAAGATAATTTTTTTGAAAAATATCAAAGAAAGACAATAATACTGTTCATCGTCTTCCTTAGATCATCGGTTCCAAGAAGCGCAAGCCACCACCAATTCAAACTTCGTCGCCTGTAGATCATCGGTTCCAAGAAGCGCAAGCCACCACCAAATCAAACTTCGTCGTGTTGGTCGATGCTTGCAGAAGCTTTCTATCTCTAGGCGACACCCATCTCGGGAACCCACCTACCATTCTGCCATACTCTGGGAACACCTTAGCCTTGGAGCTTCTGTTCGACTTTGAGATCTTCTTAAGCATGGCGAGAGAATTACTGACCGAGTGGCTTATGTTGTACAAGCCTTGCTTGATCTCTTCTCTTACGTTGCCCTTACTGTGAGCGAATCCATCAAGACAGGTGCATTGATTCGTCATTGCAGCACTTAACAGAGTTCCCAAGTCATTATAGTGCCTCGAAGGTGAGTTTTTCGGTGACAGACCGGACAGAGCGCTTTTAAGATCAGCAACAGTCTCGTCTAAAAGCTCGAGACAGTCATCCAGAGCCATCTCTTGAAGCGGGTCGAGTGTTCTGCGCTTCATTCGGATGCCAGTGCAGTTAGAAGCAGATGTACTGACTTCATTGACTGTGTGCTGGACTGTAGCGGACTGGCATCCGAATGGGCGATCTGAAGATGTTTGTGAAGGTGCAATGGTGGGATTTTGATGGACTTTGGTTCCTTTTTGATCGGATTTACTGAGGAGAGTAGTATTAGTAAAAGGGTTGAGAGGGTTAAGAGAAGAGGCAGCAGCAGCACTTTAGTTATGGTTTTGAGATAGAACATGGTGCTTCAGTCTTCAGTCTTGAGAGAAGGAGAGAACCAGGAGAAGAAAGATGGGAAGTAGAGAAACAAAGAGGAGGAGAAATGGAATGATTGGCTAGACTCTTTAACTGTGGTGTCTGGATTAATATTGTTGAGAAGCTTCCGTGGAACATCACCGATTAAAAATAATCACACAGGCAAAGGAAGAGGAAGGCGATGAACAGTATCATTGCCCTTCCTTGATATTTTTCATAAAAAGTTATCCTATTTTTATTATTTTATAAAATTATTATCTTTTATTGATATTTAAGGCAAAAAAGTTGCCCTTATGCGAGAAACCCTTAAAACAATACAAACAAACCAACGCTCAGTGTGACCTATCTTTGTCACATGTGAAATAATTAGTATAAATGCATTTTCTTATTATTAATCACAGGTGGCGCGAAAAGGTGATGTATCTAGGACAAGATCCGAACCCGACCCGTACGCTATGACTCAAGGAGGGAGAAAGATGGCAACTAGACCTGTTCATGGGTCGGGTAGCGGCCCGACCCGGCCCGCACCCCGGGCGGGCTTGGTCATATAATTAGGCCCGCGGGCCTGACCTCGGGCTTAACACAGTAAGCTCGATTGTGTTTCGGGCCGGGCTCGGGATTTGTCAAAAAAGCCCGACCCGAGCCCGGCCCGGCCCAACTCAGTATTATATATTTTATAAAATATATAATATATATTTTAATATATAAAATATATAAATAATATAATATTTATTAAAATATATATTTATAATTTAATATATATATATATATATATTTTATTCTTTTCTTTATAATTTCAATCTATCTCTCTCTTTATTCTGCTTCAACATTAATAATAATAATAATATAGGCTAAATTTCGGGCCTAGGCCCAGGCTCGGGCTTCGGGCTTTTTATGAGGGCCGGGCTCGGGCCCAAATTGTAGGCCCGATGGTCGGGCCGGGCTCGGGCTCGGGCCTTAAAAAAATTTGTTAATAGACAATAAAAGCCCGGCCCGGCCCATGAACAGGTCTAATGGCAACTACACCGAGTAACCAGAATCGGTAAATTATTTATTATGAATAAATAATTTTGTTGTCATTTTATCTTAAACTGTCATTGCCCAGAACTATTTCTATTTTCTCCAAATTAAATGAGTTAAAATAAGTAAATAACAAGAATCAAGAATCATTCCATTGACATAGAAAAAATTCCTTTTTTATATTCTTGATTCGTTTCACTTACATTAATGTTTCTCTTTATGAAAGCCAAACTAAATCGTAAATTTATATTTATTAGAAAGAAACTTCTATCACTTCATTTGAATATTGAATCTAATAAGAAATTTGGAGTATCTATAGTAATTGAGATAACTTTAATAATATATTTAAAAAATTAATTAAATCTTAAATCAATCAAATAAACAAAAAAGGGTAATTTGAGAATTAAAAAAATTTTAAACAGATTTTAAGGTAACTAACGAATTAGGGGTATTTGTGACAAAGTGAAAGTTAAGAGGGGTCCTATGTCCGAAATGACCCTATAGTACAGGGGGTATTTATAATCAAATAAAAAATAACGAAAATAACGACAAACCAAAAAAAGAAGAAAAAAAAAGGAGGAAACAGGGAAGCAGGAGCATGATGAAACCGGCCGCGTTTGCCCATTAATTGCCTTCCAACTACTATAACTGGGCCATAAGCTTCCACTGCTGCTACGTTACAAACTATTTCTTCGTTCCTTCCTTCCACCGAAGATCCTCTCTCTCTCTCTCTCTTTCTGTGAAAAACGCCAAGAAAAAGAAATTTTTATTAGAATTAAGTAAGCTGGAAACGGAAACAGATATACAGACATAAACCAATAACTTAAGCAATGAGTCAATGAGTCTGGACTCTTAAGGACAAGGTGGTAGTAATGCTATTGCTCTTTTTCTGGACTGAAATTTTGTAGAATTTGAGGAGAAAGAGAAGCATGTTCAAGCTGCATAGGCACAAGTCACTCAAACCTGGGGAGAAGGTTGATTTCAGGCTTTCTAGTTTTCAGGCACTTCAGGTATCTCCTTCTGCTTCTCTGTCTGATCCTCGGTGTTCTTTTATGGAATTTCATCGTCTCTGTTTCTAGCGATCTGCAATTGTGTGACTGAGGTTTTTAGTGGGAGATTTCGTTTTGATTTGGCTTTTCTTCCAACTTTCTATATTTCACATGTCGTCAACAGCTTCCGCGATTTCTTTTCTTCTTTGTCTTAGCATCTCCGATTTCAGATCGTTTCTCTGTACGCGTTCTTCGTTATTTTTGTTTACTTGTTGAAAACTTTCTTGTTTCATTCAAATACGCTACTTCTTTTTTTATTTCGTCAGTAGATTTTTTTTTGGATAATGTTCGGAATTATAGACAGCATTTGAGCAAATACCCAATTTCTCATGAATGGAGAAAAGGAATGAGAACCCCAGAACGAATGGAGAAAAGGAAAATAAAGAAAGGAAGCAATCAGGAAATTGCGGTTTTGAGAATTAAATGGTGCAATTTACCGTGAAAAGCATACTAATCTCAGATTAACACCCAACAAAAGTTGCAGCTTGCAGGTGGTTTCCCTGCTTGAGCTTCAAAGAGTTGTGTACAAATTAATTATCCCACCTATACTGAACTATTTAGATTCCCATTACCCCCCCCCCCCCTTTCCGGAAAGATAAAGGATTTTAGCTTCATAAATTGCAAGAAAGAAACTCGTAAGGTTGAAACCTTTACTGTCCCATTCAAATAAGATGCTAATCAGGTGCTCATTACTCTACAACTCTCTAGGTAGTAGGTAATACTTATTAGTAGATGCTAGAACTGTAGAACAGAAGCTCACATACCAACTCAAAAATCGGTGTAAAGTGAAATTAAATTGCAATGCAAACTATATAACATGAATGAGACACAATAAACAAGTTTTTAAACCAGACATGCAAATAAGGTATCCGACTCATGGAGTTTTGAGAAATCAACATGGTTGCATATTGGAAGGATAAAGTACAAGAATGGTGGAACTTAAATTTAGAAAACAATTTCTTATTTGTCTCCAAACTGTCAAAATTAATGTTAGTTGTCTAATCAATCTGCTAAGCTTGTTCACAAAGAATATGCAAGACAAAGAGAAATTTATATCTGTTTCTCCATGAAATTCCTCTATCAGGTAATAATTTAATTACTTTTGATTTTTTACGCCCATCAGAATCAACTTTACAACATTTTACAGTGTGGTTTATTGCTGGTTGTACTGGAGACATGGGATTGAAACCCACCCTGAGGCTCGTGGGATGGGATACCAACCATTCTGTAGCCCAGTTACATGAAAAAAAAACACTTTTACAAATTTCTATGATCCGGTATTCGTGCTCCAACAATTTACAGCTTTGATAGAACATGAAAATTGAACATTGCTTTAGATAAGTAAAAGTAGGCTGATTAGGGCAATTCCAGCAGTTTATATTTAGTAGGATATGGAAACTGTAACTGTATGCTCTCAGGTTCAGTTGAAAAGTTCCTATGAGAAACACAAAATATGCTCTCTGGACTGGAAATATATTAATTTCTCTGTAAGACCCATCTTATGCTTATTTGTTGATTCCTCTTCGTGAGGAAAAGTGGTAATCTGAAAGAGCATTCCCTTAATTCAACAGTAATTAACATTAATAAACAGACTCTTGTGGAGAAAATTTGTAAGCTGCTGAAGGAAATGATAGTTACGGGATTAATACAACAAACCTAGTTTAATCAATTTTTCTCTTAGGCTTTAAATTATCTTTCTTATGGATCATAACGTCTGTGTGGTCAATATTTCATGCAGTCTTAGGTCCATGAAGGATTTGATAGTTGAATTGTTTTGTTGACTATAATTATATGAATGCAGGTACCGAAAGGATGGGACAAGATTTTGGTATCTTTAGTTTCTTTGGAAACTGGAAGGACAACTGCCAAGACGAGTAAGGCAGTAGTAAGGAATGGAACTTGTCAATGGACTGAAACTCTGACAGAATCTATATGGATTTCACAAGATGATGCTTCAAAGGAGCTTGAAGAGTGTCTCTTTAAGCTTATTGTTTCCATGGTCTGATGCTTGTTCATTGGTTGTTAAATTTTAATCATTGTTACTTGTATTTGGTCAAATCTATTGGCTAGAACATTTCTGTTTTCATTGAATATTTACTTTTCAAGATTACTAATCTTTGCAGTTCTAAATAATATGCTTATTCTAGGGTTCATCAAGATCTAGTATTCTGGGAGAGGTCGTTATCAATCTAACAAACTACTTAAGCTCAAGAGCTTCTGTTCTTGTTTCATTTCCATTGAAGAAATGCAATCATGGAACAATTTTACAAGTGAGCTATTTCAAAACCTAAATTCCCCTTTGTCTATTCATATTACAATTCATGTCATTTTCTTTTCTTCTTTTTTTACAAGCCTATCTTTATACTTTTTCTTTCTTTATGTTTTTTGGCTATTATATGCATAAATTTCTTGTTTTGTAATTTTCTACCATGGTTTATTAAGAAAAACTCAATGAATTCAAGTAATTTAGATCAATGTTTAGAAAACTGGACCGAACTAGCCGGTTGAACCGTTTGAACCATGACTCGGGGCCCTGACCAGTTTGGTCACACCCCAAAAACTGGACTTGCTCAAAACCCGCTGAAAACCGGCTGACTAGCCGGTTTAACTGGAAAACCGGTGAACTGGTCTCGGTTTCATTAAACCACCCAGGCCATACATAAGTGAAATTTTAAAGTGTTGTTAATAAGATTTGAACCAAAGACCTCTTATTTTCATAGATTACTTAATCACCACTAATCCACCTCTTTACTTATGCTAATTAATGACTATTTGTTGTACACATTACATTATTATGCACGTATTTTAAAGAAAATGCAAGTTAAAAGTCTTGAACACTAGTCATTTTTTTTTAAATTAAGAAGCTTACCATCCATCCACCATATTTAAGTACATTAAAAGTTGTAAAATATATTATATATTAGTATTTATGTGACCCGTAGTATATATATCTATATGCCACATTATCATGGTTCAACCTTCGGTTTGACCTTGGTCGAACCTGACCCGTGAACCTCTCCCTTCTCCGGTTCTATGCCCGGTCCAGTTCTCTAAACATTGATTTATATAATGTCTGGATGTTCTGTAAATCAAAGTAAGTGTCACTAAGGTTGATCAATTAGAGGATGAGAATAGGTATATTACTATAAAATTTGCATAGGCCATATCCTATTACAAGATGGGTTAGCAGCACGAATGCCTTTGATTATTATACCTACAATAGGAATAAAATAGGAAATAGAAAAATATGTTCCTATATTAGACAATTTGGATAAATTCTTAACTTTCAACATTGTAGATTGTACCTCAACATGGAGAATGAATATCAACCCTCTTTTACCTATCTGGAAATTAAAATAAAAAAAAACCCTTAATTTACCAATGACTTTATTAGCATATTGAAACTATAAGGTCATATTGGCTCTTTCCCTAAAGTAATCAAATTAGGTTAGCCTCTTTTGTGTGTCATGCTCATAAAGCAATCATTACTGGTGATGTTGGAATTCCCTTACCCAATATCAATCTTTAGCTGAATGGTAAGTTGGACAAGGAAACAAGAATATAGGATATCCCTTCATGGGAATTAAAGGCTCAAAGAGTAAAGTCCCCATCCAGAAAAGAAAAAGGAAAAGGGGGGAAGATAGGAAAAGGATAAAAGAAACGCCCTGAAGGTATATGATATTGACAATGCAACTAGGAAGAGGAAAAACAGACTGTAAGCTATTTTCCATACGGCAGAACTGTTCATAGTAACCTTATAGGTTAGCAGTCTCAGTTCATCCAACAGATCGGGTCTTTCTTCTTTTTCTTTCCTTTCCTCATTTTCCCTTCCTTTTGGTAAGTAAACTGGGAAACTATGACCTCCACTTTCAGCAGATAACTCCAACCAACTAGTCACCACATTTTGGAATGGAGCAAGAATGTCAAACTGTTAGGGCCCAGCCTGAGAACGACCCACGTACCAGCCAAGTTGCCCCACTGGCCCAGATCACTTACAGGCCCATCATAGCTCAGGTCTATTCTAGAAGACCTCATCAGCATGCTTGCATTATCGAGATCGTTGGAGGATATTTTCCTACCACTGAGTAACTAACTTGACAGGGAATATCCTTGTAACCACTGAATGGTTAGGGAGATTTGCATTTTCCTTTTACGCTTTTACCTTGTTTCTTTTCGTTTCGGGTCCATCTATAAAAAGGGCCTAGCCTAAGGATTAATGCATATCATATTACCTTCAAAATCTCTTTTCTTCTTCTCTTAAAATCTTCAGGAGGTTGTGTCTCCCTCAAAGGGACACCTGCAGTAGGTAGATTCCTACCATTTGGTATTAGAGCCTGGTTATTCCTCAGGCCAAGCAACAATGCCAAATACAAGATCGAAAGCCATGGAAGACTGGCTCGAAAGATTGGAGACTAGTTTGCAAAGACTCACCGGAGAAACGAGGGAGACACTTGCAGCCATGGTAACACATTGTGAGAAGCTTTCCTCTTCCACCAGCAAGGACTCCAGGTAAGAGGGATCAAGCCAAGAAGGAGAGCAACGACTGGAGCTCAACACCGGACGATTGGCCAAAATCAACTTCCCTCCTTAGGTGATGAACCGATCCCTTGGATTTACAAGGCCGAACTGTATTTTGAATATTATGGCATAGCCGGTCACCAAAAGATTTCAATTGCCTCTATCCACCTAGAAGGAGAGGCCATGATGTGCTTCCAATGATTCTCTTGGCAATAAATCCGATTGAAATATGAGGAAGTAGAGAAGAAAAGGGAAGAAGAGAGAAAAGGAGAAGGAAGAAAGGAAGAAGAAAAGGTTTGGAGTGATAGAACAGTACTGGCGGCGACAACTTCTATTATATTATATAGGGCGGCAGAAATAAGAAGGGAAAAGACCCTTGTGCCCCTGCTGTAAGTGAGTACAATAACAAAAATAACAGAAAATAAAAAAAATTCTTTACCTAGCCAAACAGACCCTAACACAAATAACTAAATTATTTCAACAGGTTCCACCATTCTTACCCTCAGGCAACCTGGAAAGAGTTCACGGATGCCATATGTGTCCGGTTTGGTCCTACCCGGTTTGAAGACTGATGGTGCGCGATCTGGTGCTCCCTGCTGACAGATAGCTCGGATGCCGAACTCAGTAGGTCGCCTAGCTAAGCTGCAAAGAAAGAGATCAGTGTGTCCAGGTTGCTTTACCCGGGGTTGACACTCCGATGCTTAAGTCAGCGAAGAGTTTTGAGAGAGCTAGAGAGCTGTGAGAGCTAAATCGCGCATACCTCTCCTGATTGAAAGAGACGCCTTTATATAGGCACAGGTAGTTATGACCGTAACACGTCCGAGATCTCTGGGAGGGCGCGGCCATAGCACGTCCAAGATCCTCAGGAAGTTGTCTACCATGCTCAGGAGCAGTTTCTCAGTTGGAAAAGGAATCCGCGTAGATTAACTCCAAAGCGGGAGGCGCGGGAGATGGGTCTAACGGTTGAGTGACGTGATCCCATAGGAGTCGGGTACAATATTTCTGTTAAAAGCTGTTATTTCTCTAAGTATAGTACCTCAGGGGTACTATTGTAATTCTCCTATTTTATTTTTTAGTTGTTGTCGCCCTAGTATATATACTAAAAAGCTGTTATTTCTTCTTTCTTCCTCTCTTCTTCTCTCCTGCATAATATGGTATCAGAGTTGGACTATCAGATCTAAAAAGGAGAGATCGAGTGAATTGTTCCCTTCACACCAGACTTCCAGATCTGCCGCCATCATCTACTGTTCGAGTGATTGAAGATCAAGTCTTCTTCTCACGCCTGAAGTAATCTCTCTCCTTCCCTCTTTTTTTCTGGTCGTGCGCCAGGGCAGAACCTGTACTAGGTTTGCTGGTTGGATGTGAGGTGACCAGCACCTCTGTCTTTCCTTATTTGTGGGGTCAACTGACCCCTGTAAAATCTGTAGGTCGGTGAAGACCTTTTGTGTGCTGCGATAACAGCTTTTATGCTGAACCTGAAGGTCAGAGTGACCTGTACTTGCTATAACAGCATCTATGTTTGATGTATAGGTCAAGGAATGACCTGTACGCCCTGTAACAGCACCTGTGTTTATCAAAGAAGGGCCTGTTTGTGCTGTAACAGCACCTGTGTTTTTCAAAAAAAAGGGGTAACAGCACCTGGTGGTATCAAAAGGGGTTATGTTTCTGAAGAAAAAAGGGGCTTCCTTTCTCCCTTGTGTTAGCCTCTTTTTAAGGTTTTGTGCCCACTTTAAAAGTGTTTTGAATTTATAACAGTAGAAATCACTAATTGCAGATTTAGTCAAAGTTCTTGTGAAAAGAAAGAGGAGGAAGATAAAGATTTCAGCAATAGAGAAGAAAAGAGGAGGAAAGAGTAGGAAGTCAACCAGGATTCTTAGATTAACCCTACTACCAACCCCTCATTATATTTATACTTAACTTAAAGGATGAGATATTACAAGGATGCCCTTAGTARGGYRRCTACTAATGTAGCTGAACAGTCACAACTTAAAAACATAAACTAATGGGCCTAAAGCCCAACAACTTCCTAACTAAATAACTTAAAATAAGAATAAAAACAT